ACCTCCAGTCACACTTTTCCACAAAGCTCTTGTTCCCTATGGTCCCTCTGGCAGCTGCAAACTTTAGATCTCCCCTCTGCCCTGGAACCAAAACCAGGGACTCTGCTCTTCTGCAAGTGCCCACAGCCAGCAGGGTTCCTGCTCCTCTGCTATGGCACTCACTGGTCATGTGATCATTCCTTCTTGCCCACAGCCACAATCTGGACTGTGTCTGGTCAACACAGCTGGGTCTGGCAGCTTGAGACAGCAGAAAGTCCTTCAATCTTTCCCGGTTCAGCTGCCCAATTCCCATACTGTCCATGAGGTGAAAGTTCCTGAGGCCAACATTGTAGCTTGATGCAGCTGCTCCCAAAGCTTGTTGTTTGTTGATTCAGTAGGGTTTGTGTGGAAGTGTTTTTTCACATGCAGCTGCTCCCAAAGCTGGTTGTTTGTTGATTCAGTAGGGTTTGTGTGGAAGTGTTTTTTCACTTCATTCAGGCCAAACCTCCACTCCTGGAGGTAGGGTCTTTCCTGATGTCCTCTCAAATTGTCTCAGAAGGAAAACTGCTTTAAATCAACTTTTATTTATTTCTGCCACCCTACGTTCACTTTGAGGTGATGTTCTAACTTGTTTGTGGAGGAAATTTGGAGAGCCTGGAATTTTCTGAACTACTCCACCATCTTCTCTATCACAATTTCTTGTATGAAAATCATATTTGGTGAGATGTAATAACCAATTTACATATTCCCATGCATTTTTCCATTGACTTTTCATTATTTATAATTTAGATTCTTTAGAGACCATGGTAACCCATAATTCTTGTTTGGATAGATCTAGGAGAATATTAGTGTCAAAAAGATGGGCTTTGATGTTTTCGTCATGAACCACCAATTCAAAGTCAAAACTCCACCTAACATTGGGAAGGGAGGCTCCCTTATTTTCTCTTAATACTGCCACAAGTAGAGCACTGGGCTTTAGCTCCAGTTATTCCTCACTCTTGCCATGTGACTGACCGTTTTGTTTTTCACTCAGATTTTCATTTGATGGCATCTTTGACTGCAGTTTTTATTCAAAGTTCCTAGATAATTTTATGGTACAGTCTGGTCATACTACCATGTACCTCTCCATTACCCTAACTTTGACAGTCATCTAATTCTTCAGAAACTGTACTATTCCATGACTAGCAACCATATGACAACAGTGGTTGAATATTGATCAAAAAGATAGACTTTGTTTCAACAAGAAGTTTAAGGTTGGGAGGGGCAGCATAGAGCTCCAGCATTGGAATCAGAAGGACCTGAATTCAAATCCGACCTCAGACAATTGACACCTAACTAGCTGTGTATGAATGTTTTCCAGGATACTTGGCAGAGAGTAGAAGCTTAATGTAACCAGCTCAAAATCATCCACAAACAGGAGCTTCTAGAGGACTTCACCAACCATAAGGAATTCCTCTTTAGTTTGGACTGTATACATAGATTCTGTTTGAAAAGGTTTTATTGAGCACTAAGACACTATAAAGTATCTTCAGCAAAATCTATAGCAATGCAAAAAAGGACTGGTTTAACTATCCACCTTTCAAAAACAGACTTAAAGATAAACATATTCTTCAAATAAAGTAGTATGGCATAGTAGATAAAGCATTACATTGTAGTGAGAAGACACGTGCTTGAATTCTGCCTAAAATTCTTAAGTATTTGTATGATTTTAGAAAATTTACAGTAACTCTGAGTCTGTGTCCTCAGACAATTGTAAAATACAGACAATATATTTTAATATCTCCCTCACAGGCTTATCATGAGGAAAATTATTTACAAACCTTAAAGCTCCACATAAATGATTATATTTTATTTACATTTAAAGATATATAATACGACATTCAATGGGACAATTCATTGAGTTAGTCTATATATACATATACATATATACATATACAAATATACATGTGTACATATATACATAGATGCGTAAACAGATAGACAAACAGATAGACAGATATATATATATAATCTTGACCAGGCACTAGAGATGGTCAATAAGTTAGGCCCAGAATTCAGCAGAAAAACATCTTTACATATACAGTAGTGGATACTTAATAAATATTTAGTTAACTGAACTAAGGGAATGGAACAGAGAAACTGCAGACAAACCAAAAAACTTTCCAGTCACATTATGATTTCATTCTTTTGTTTAATGCATCCATATTTATCAGTATAGCACACAAACTCATATTCAAAATTGGAGCAGAGAAATTTTAGGGTGTTCATGATAGCAGTCTTTAAGTATTTGAAGGACCGTCAAGTCAAAGAGGGATTCGATTTGTACTGCTTGGCCCCAAAGGAGAATTAGGAAAAATTCATAGAAAATGTAGAGGGGCAGATTTAGGCTTCAGGTAAAGAAAACACTCCTAACCATTAGAATTGTCCAAAAGTGATATAGGTTTCCTTCAGAGATAGTGAGTTTCCCTTCACTGGAAACTAGCAAATGCAGGACACTTTTTGGTGATAGTAGAAACATAAATTTTGAGCTAGCACTTAACACAGTACCTGAAACATAGTAAAGCTTAATAAATGCTTTATCTATTTAATCCAATGCTCACATTTTACTAATGAGGTAACTAAGGCCCAAAGAAATTGATTTGCTAAAGGTTATACATGTAATAAGCAACAAAGGTAGTATTTGAACCCAGATCTTCTGATTCCAGGGATAATGCTCATTCCAATGTGACACTTCTGCTCAAAAGAATCCTACACAGGTATGGGTTACTCTAGATTGCCTCTGAGGTCCCTTCCAAGTCTTAGAATCTGCTAAATGTTTTAGAAATTCATTCCTAAATGAAATACAAATTATTTTTTGATTATCTGCTACATAGTATTACCCAAATCTTGGTTTCCTCTCTCAATAGCAATAATTGATGGTACATATCCTAGAAATATTTGTTGAAGGAACTAGTTCCAAAGACAAAATCAGGGATATTTTTATAATGCATAAGAAACTGAGGGATCAGAGTACAATGGGGTGGAGTGGGTGAACTGAGTGCTCTCAGATCAGTGTTGGTGACTTGGCATTCAAAATACCATAGCATTATAATCCCCCATTATTCTCCCACAGAGATAAATGGAAGAAGTGAACATCCTGAGGTAGGACCAATAAATAAATACAGGCAGCAATCGCCATACTTTGTTGGTGTTGATGCTTTTTCATTCTCCGGCATCCTTTCTCTAGAGTTGGTGATCTTTGTTCAATCCAGGCCTTGTTGTGTAGGTGTTCTATCTTCTGTTGAAATTAGGACAGTCCACTAGCTAAATTTTTGTTGTTGCTGTGGGAAACAGGACCTACAATTTCACTGGTGTAGAAAACTCTAAGCAAGGAACTTCCTTTCACTAATATTGGCCTAACAGAGTTACTTGGGATCCTGAGAAGTTAAATGACTTATGTGGCCAGTTTGTCAGAGATAGGACTTGAACCTAGCTCCCAAGCCAGCTCTCTATCTACTATGACAAGAATTTATAATATGAAAGGTCTAGAAGTTGCCAGAGGGGAGACAGAGAGATGTGGTAAGTTGTGAGAAGATTAATACATTTTGCCCAACTGTGATCAATAAATTGTATTAAAATTTTGTTTTTGCCTTTTTCTAAGTAGAGGGTCTAAATCATTTTTATGTCATAGTGATGTAGATACAAACAGTGCCCTAAGGGTTAAAAAGAATATTAAGGGTTGCTTTTCCAGTACTTTGTGAAGCCTCCCACCAAGGGGTTGAAGCTTATTCTGTAGCTTATTCAGTAACTTGAGGGTGTCCTAAAGTCTTTTCCCCTTTATCCTGAAATACCACCAACCTTCTCCTTGTCTTTTAAGACCAAAAGAATTGGTTTTTTCTTCCTTATTCTGTATCTCCCTGTCCTTCATATCTTGTCAACCATCTTCCTCATCCTATATCATAAAATTCTTCCTTAATCTTCAAGTACCATAAAACCCTAAAACTACATCATCATTCTAAAACCTCTATATAAGCATAACTCTCCCAAATATCGGGGGCCTTTCATTAGCTTCTCGATAATGGAGCCCAGGATGCTTTTCCATGTAAAATCAAAAGCTCCCATTGGTTAAGAGAAAGTCATCCAAGTGAATTCCTTCACACCGAAAAGGCTATCCCAAATCTGACCTCAACAATAGACCCCTTTGGCAGTCTGGTGAAGCTTATGGACCCTCTCTCACAATAATTTTTAAATTTTTTATTTAAGGACAGGCTACATTTCAGTTAAAAGTTAGTAAAAATAAAGATGTATTTTTTTTGCCAAATTCAGGTATCCCCCTGAAATCTACCCTTAGTCCAAACTAAAGAGGGATTTTATGGTTGATGACATCCTCTAGATGCTCCTGTTTGTGAATGATATTGAGCTGGTTACATTAAGCTTCTTACACCCTGCCTAGTATCCTGGAAAAGATGCATTACCACTCAAAAGAGTTTGGCCTAAACATCCACAAATTAAATTTAAGGTAGTTTTAGGAAAAATTGGAGAAATTTTGAGAACCATGTTTTATAGTTTAGTAGATGGACAGTAGTACAGGAAAAAACGGAAGCAAAATGGTCCAAAACCACTAACGCTAACCACAGCTAAGAAAAGAAGAGGCTTAAATTGCAGAAGTGCAAATAGGCATTGGAGTAGTTTGTTTAATCTACTTGAATTGTGTATGGAAATAGAATAAGGACAAGGACTGATATAGGATACTCCAGGGTAAGGAAAATTCCCTCTACTTATGCCAAAAAAAAAAAAGAATCAGAACAATCTTTCCCACTTTAAACATGGGCGGGGGGGAGGGAGAGAAGAGTGGGAATGCATTCTTTTCAAAATCAGAGAAATGAGAATAAGCAGGATTATTAAACTACCAATAAAAAGAGGACTGAATAGAATGTTTTTCTTTCGAGAAATAAAAAGGAGGAAAGGTTGGATAGGTGAGAGATATGGAGTATACAGCCAGGAGTGAAGAAAATAAAACCGAGGGTCAAGAAGTGAATGAGGAAAATTGCCTCAAAGCTACATCCCCCGGATAAGATTACAAGAGCACATCCGGGTAACCCCGCCCCCTACGGGTCAACGAGCCGAAGGCCACATTCCCGCACATGCGCAGTCTCTCAAGCCTGCCTTCAGCCCGCAGACCCTCAGAAGGGCAGCTGCTTTCTCCCGCCAGGCTTTCAAACGTCCGCCTTTCTAATACTGGCATCCTGCCTCCTGGGGCCGCGCAGGCGCAGGGAGAAAGGCTGCTTTGAGCCGCACTTTGGCCCCTCTCGGGCACTGCTAGGGTTGACGTTGAATCGGGCCAGGCAGTTGCAGGGAGAGAGCTGGTCGTCTCGCCCCGACCAGCGCCCGGGGCACGGAAGCGCAAGAGGGCATCGAGCGGGCGGGGGCGGCCGACGCCGACGCCCCCCCGGAGCCGCAGCTCACCCTACTAGTCATGCAGCCCTGCGGCGGGCAGGAGGAGGCGGCGGGCGCCATCCTGCGGCCGACCCCGGCTTCGGCGGCCTCGGCGACCCCGACCCCTATCCCTACTCCTACCCCTACTCCGAGGAGCGGCAGCGCCGCCGGGAACCTCACGCCCCTGGGTGAAGTGGCAGGAGATGGCGAGGACGAGGCCGCCGAGGACGAGGCGGACCTGCTGGACACGTCCGACCCGCCGGGGGGCGGCGAGAGCACGGCCAGCCCGGAGGAGCTGGAGGACGAGGAGACCCACTCGGGCGGCGAAGGCGGCCGGGCATCAGCGGGCCGGGGCGGCGGGGGCAGCGTGAGCAAGACGTGCACCTACGAGGGCTGCCGCGAGACCACGAGCCAGGTGGCAAAGCAGCGCAAGCCGTGGATGTGCAAGAAACACCGCAACAAGATGTACAAGGACAAGTACAAGAAGAAGAAGAGCGATCAGGCCCTCAGCTTGGCCGGCACGGCGGCCGCGGCCGGCGGCAGCGCGGGCAGCGTCAAGCTCGAGGTACCGCTACCCAGCCCTAGCCCGGGGCGGCGGGGCGCAGGTGCGGGGCGCTGGGGCGCGGAGACGCGGAGACGCACCGCCCCGAGCCGTCTGCGGGCCGTGGCGACCATCGATGTCTGCAAAAGTAATACCAATGTTTGCCAACTCAGAGCTTCTCTTAGCGCAGTGCCCGGCGTATAGTAAGCCCCTAATAAATGCTTACTGACTGACCAGCGGTGTAATGGGTAGAGCGCTGGGCCTGGAGTCAGGAAGACCTGAGTTCAAATTTGGTCTCAGACACTAGTTGTTGTGACCCTTGGGCAAGTCGATTGACCTCTGCCTGCCTCAATTTCCCCAATTGTAAAAGGGGGATAATAATAATACTTCCCTCTAAGAGTTATTGGGAGGATCAAATGAGCTAGTAATTGTAAAGCGCTCAGCACAGTCCCTGGCACGTCGTAAGCGGTTAGCTATCATCATTATCCAGATGTCCCAAAAGTCTTACTGCAGATTAAAGTTATAAAAGATTAAACTGCAACTTGAAACTATTAAAGCTGAGAGATTGCAGTAAGACTTTTGGGACATAACAACAATAGCTAGAACTTAGGTAATGAAGTGCATTAAGGTATACATACACGATCTCATTTTGATACAGTGAATAGATTGCTGGGCCCGAGTTTAAATCTTCCCACTTAATAGCTGTGGGAACTGCTTGATTGAATCTCTACAAGTCACTTAATCTTATGAGTGACTGATTCAGCAAGTTGCTGCCAGCCTCAGTCTTGTCTTCTGTAAAATGGCAATAATAAAACCTCCCTCCCTATTGTGCTGATCAAATGAGATAGTAATTGTAAAGTGCTTAGCATAGCCCCTAGTGCATAGTAAGCACTATATAAATATTAGCTATTCGTATTAAAGCTCTTTGCAAATCTTAAAGCACCATATAAATGTTAAGTATTATAGGCATCAGGGTATGTAACAAGGAAAAACAAACGTTCACCTGGAGAAAGGCGTATAAACTAGAATATATTGGGCAGATTATGATGAGTCTAATTAATTGTTGAAGGAGTGAGCTGGCAGCCTGTAGAAAATCAAGTGCAATTGATTGGAAGCCTAATTGTCTTCCTTTTTCTCAATAATTTGTGTTATTCCTCCCAGAGAAAAAGCGTTTCAGGTACAAATATCTCAAGATATTTGGATTTTTTGAATTGGGTTGCTGTGACAGCTACCAGTTTACCAGAAAGGCTTTTTTCTTGAAGGCAGCAGGTTTATCTATTCTGTGGAAAGAATAATTTACTGTGAGCTCCTTGAGAGCAGGTACTGTCTTTTACTTTTTTTGGTATCCCCCGTGCTTAACCTAGTGAGTGGCACATAGTAGGTGTTTAATAAATGCTTGTTGACTTAGGACATCTATAGAGTACTTCCCAGGCAAGGGAAGGATTCTGAGGTAAGAAATGCAGGAACTATGATCTTTACAGGTGAGGAAATTGAGACCCAGAGATGAGCCTGTAGCAATTAAGTGTAGTGGACTGAGAGTTCTTAGAAGCTGGAAGGTAAATGATGACCAGTCCAGAATGTCTGAAATTTCTACAAGTTAAACTAGTTCATTTTTAAGCTCTCTCAGATTGATTTAGGAGATTTTTAGTCAAGTGGAATGAAGAGTTCTGAACTTGTAATCATGAGACCTCACCTTAATGCCTGCCTCAGACAACTTAGTACCTATGTAACCATGAATAAGTCATTGAAAATCTTCAAAACCTCATTTCCCTATGGGGATAATATGGAAATATTTTATTTACATTTATTTTTACATATGCTGGCTTCGTATAGTCTACAAGGATTTTGAAGACATGGTTCTTGTTGAGGAGAAAAGATTTATGTCTATAAAAATATATAACCATACAGGGTAGCATGTGATAGATTTCAAGTTAATGGCAGAGGTGTTTAGTTCCAAAGAAAGATAGGAGGCATCATGGAAAAGGGGACATTTGGACTTAGGATTTGAAGGATGGATAGGATGCAGTTTGGTAGCAAGGAGGTGGACATATAGACAAAGTCAGGAGAAGGACATAAGCAAAGATAAAGTGATAGTGAAAAGTTTGTGTAGGATATAATGTCTAGATCGAGTCCTACCCTCTAATTTTGATCATGAGGACACAGGTCCAATCTTCCCTTCTACAGCAGGAGGAGAGAAGTGTCTTCATGTTCAAAATTAGAGGCTAAGACTAGGTCTAGATGTTATACTCCGATAAGATTGGTGTCACGTTGTTTAGGGGTAACATGTAATATAATGTTTAGATTTGACTGCAGGTGCCAGGAAATAGGCCACACTACAAATGAAAAAGGTTAATTTCAAAAAATTTATTGTGTCGTTAACTCTAGGAAAGCACAGATGGCTCAACATCCGTTGGAAAACAAAGAAGTGGTTCTATTGGAGATCGTCCTTCAAGACCTACTCTCTTAGAGCAAGTGTTAAATCAAAAACGGCTGGTAAATATGATAATTTCTTTTGTAAAACTGAAACAAGCCTAAAACATGATCTTTTTCTTTTTTGTTTTAACCTTTGACAGGAACTGAAGCTTCATAAACTGATGGACACTTAAAATTTGTTTTATTTATACACATGGAACCTTGATATAAGACTATCCTTAGGGACCATGTCATAGAATCATCATGTAGTGAAGTCCTATTTATTCATTAAATCTTTTGATTATTTGAATAAAATGGAATTCAGTGTAAACCTATCATCATGAATTCCACTTTGGCGTTAGTTTCAATGATGTTGGTCTAATATTGAGTGCTTCCATTATAAATTTTTACCTAGTTTTAGGTGATAGCCAATAGCTCCTCTTCCAAACTTCATTTTTCTTTCTGCCTTTTTTTGATCCAGGCACTACCCTTTTCCCAGTCTCCCAGATTGTAACCTCAGTATTAACCTCAACTCCTTGTTCTGCCTGTCCCCATACGTCCATTCAGTTGCCACATCTTGATATTTCTACCTCTGTAACATTCTTTTGGCACATTAGTTGAGGCCCTTATCACCTCTCACCTATATAATTGCAGTGGCCTGCAATTGGTCTCCCTGCCTCAGGTTTCCCACTTTAGTTATCTTCTAATACTGCCGACAAAATGATTTTCTTTAAGTTCATATCTGACCATATTGCTTTCCTAATTCCTCAGTTTCATCATTGCCTGTAGGAACAAGTCTTATGTTTCACTTTTAAAGTCCTTCACAATTCGGCCCCAATCTCTTTCCAGCTATTGTATGTTACTTTCCCTCCTGCACTCCCCAATCCAGCCAAAGTGGTTGTAACATTCTCCCTTGTTTGTGCCTTTGCACTTGCTGTCCCTTAACCATAAAATTCACTTTCTCTTCACTAGCACCTCATAGAATCCCTCCCTTACTTCAAGACACAATTCAGATTCTACCTCCTACATGAAGCTTAGCCCGATCCTCCCAAGTGCTAGTGTCATCCTTTCCAAACTATCTTGATGATGTAACTACTTTGTATTTATTCTCTTCAAATTTTTCTGTGTATATTACTGTCTCCCTTGTTAGAATGTAAAGTCTTTGAGAGAAGAGATTATTTCCTTGAATTTTGATCTCTGTTGCCTGACACACACAAGTAGGAACTTAATCAGTGCTTGTTGATTGATATCAGACTAGTTCTGATCTTTGACTAGGTCTGGAATAGCGTAAATGATAGTGGGTTTTTCAGAAATGTTCATTTTTACATAGAGAAACTACTGTATTGAAATCTTGTTCTGAATTGGTTATTTACACATTAAAAATTAAATTTTGTGTACAAATTCTCTTTCTTAAATTAGTCTTCCCAAATAAAAATTATTAATGTCCTGTTTGCTCTGAACAATTGGCATTCTATTTTTGATCCTTAAAGTGGGAAATCAGTAGTGTAGAGAGTTGTACATTAGAATTTATTTGGAGTAAGTTTCTAATTTTTTTCCAATCTAATAAAGATTATCTAATAATAATCTGAATCTCTATATTACCAGAATGTGCTATCATAAATGTAATATCTCTGTATACCCAATGGAACAAGTATAGTTTGCCATAGTGAATGTGTAATTCACTATAAGAAACCCTGGGGTAAAATTTAGGAAAGAAATGTTTAGAAAAACAATAACAATTATTCCTTTTTATTAATAAAAATGTAATGTTTACATTAAATGTTAAGCGAATAATCATTTTATGATATGTTTGAAAATAAGGTTTAGCAGTAGGAATTGAATCCCAGGACTAAGTTCAAAAGTACCTCTAAGACTTAAATCTAGCACCAGAGTATTTTTATTTTTAGTTCCTGAATTTTATTTATCAGGGTTGTAATGGAACTGTCTAGAGTGAAGGCATTATCTAGTATTAGAATTGGATGAGACATTGCAGAGAATCTACTCTAGTCACAACCATGTCTTACAGGTGATGAAACTGAGATTGAGGCTGTTCTGTCTGTTTCACTAGGACTTATCCAAAGTTATAGAAGCCAGTAGATAGAAATCAGGGCCTGGGTCTTCATCTGAGAGTGGTATTCCTTCCAGTGCACCATACTGTTTAACCAGCTGTTGAAACTGTAGAAATTATTTGCTTCTGTTCCTTCAGTTTTTAGTAGTTCTCATTTTCTTTTTTTTCCCCTGCCACCCTGGACCAGCTCTACCCTTAGTGCTTTATTCTACAAGTTTAAGACCTTTCCACATCTACATAGAATACTCGTCTCTTAGGACATGAACAAAATATTAAACCTTTCTCAGGTCAGAAACCCTTGTGGAAAGCTTCTTCCTTTTCATACACTCAAAGTTATATGCGTAACAACTTATGTCTTTATTATTCTATGGTTTGGTATCATAATGCATGCTCATGGTTTCTGTTTTAATGTAAGTGGTGACCTTGTTAACATATGTACTAAAATTTGAGTTTAGCATCAGTTATTAAATAGAATAAAAAGTTTCATTTATTTGTAGGTCTGTTTTATGTTGTGGTTCCTAACATGAAACAATTAACCTGGATAATGCTAGATTATTAATATTTAAAATGAATGCATAAATAATCAGTGCACTGTACAATTTTTTATTCTTTTAAGGCATTATTAAGAAGTCCAGAAGTTGTACAGTTTCTGCAGAGACAGCAACAGCTACTAAATCAACAAGTTTTGGAGCAAAGACAACAACAACAGTTTCCTGGAGCATCAGTGTGAAGGGACTAATTGAGGTTATCCACGGTTTAGTATCTCACTGTACTGGCTGAAGATGTTTTTATGTTGAAGAGAAATAGGTTACAGCAGTCAGGTAGAACACTTGCAATATGATTATCATAAAATCTTTTCCTAGAAATACATATATTTGGTTTTTTGTGATGGGTTTTAGACTTTGTGGGAATCTGGATTTTGAAGAAATCTAGTTTTATATTATATTTCCAAAACTCCACTTAACTTCGTTGCTTTAAAAACATTTTTCAACTTTAATTTTAAAAATACCCCAAGTCTCCCAACAAGTTATCAGGCAAAAGATCATAAATATGGTCATTCTTAAGTTTACTATTAATGAAGGAAATGAGATGGTTACTTTTTATGGAAGTTGTGAAAGTAATAGATATTTATCTTGAATTGTCTAGCCAATAAGTGTGGCAAGATACAGCCTGGACATTCAGGAGGCCTGAGCTCAGGAATAATCTTTATGCTTTTCTACACACTTAAACCTGGAGTTAACAAGGAAGCAAATAGAACATGTGTGTATACATATGTAGGAAGAGGGGTGGTAATAATCAGCTGCTCTATGAGACTGAAGTGTGCCCCCATCTTCGTAAATGTCCTACTGAAACCAAAAGAGGACGTCATGAAAGAAATTGGAATGAAGAAAATACAGAAGAAACTGCTTGATTACATTACCTAGCACCACATTGTTTGCATGTCAGATGTGATCCCGGTGGAAGCAGGTATTCTGAAATGCAGAATCTATGGCTGGTGGAGAGTGTATCTGGTTCGCCAATTCCCTGATAAAATTGGCATTGATTTTATTACTTATTACTCTTTTTTTTAATGGAAAATTTTGAGAATAAGACAAAAAACTCCTTTATGTTGTGAATTATTTTAAAAATTGAGCCATTTCAACATTGTTGTATTGAATAGGTACCCAAAGAATGAAGTGAGATACTTTTATCCTGTCTTCCTAAGATAACAAAACTCAAAATCATATCTAATCATGGCACCCAGAAGAATGTCAGAGTAAATATTACCCCTGCACTGTGCACATTCTGATGCCAAATGTGTACCAAGCTGGGTTGTATAGAAACATATTTGGTTTTTGTAAGATGGTTTTTAAGTCACAGCCTCTATAGACAAAACTTTCTGATAATCATTCAAGGAGCATTCTTCTTCATTTTATATGTGTAGGTTTTATAACTGTATATTGGTACAAAAAAAATAAAAATTTGAATACTTTTGAGTTGTAATTCATATATTTAGCTGCTTTAACCTGTAGAGGAGGTTATGTTAAATCAATCATTTATTGTCATGCTGGCATATGACCCTAGTTTATGCCTTTGATCTGTTTGGTCAGGAAACCCAAGTCTGTGTTTAAGCTTAAGAATTGAAGATAACTTCTTATTCTTCAACTAGAAAGGGGGAATGGAAAAGAAAAAGAAAGGGGGAATGGGCTGTACATTTTGAGACCTGAATTTTAAAAAAAGGGCTTAAAAGATTTAAATATTAATCTATAATTTGTGCTGCTACTAAGAATCAGATAAGAGTTATATACTGGAATCCATGTGCTTGGATAGAAGAGAGGAATAAAGGGAAGATTGAGGGAGGAAAAAAATAGGTTTAAGAAAAGTAAGGCATAGAAAGAGAAGAAAAGATTATGATCAGATAAAAGTATTTTAAAATTCTTGGAATCCACTTTGAAAGTGGAACACTTTTGGTGATAGCAGGATCAAGGGAAATATCCCATTGTAAGCTGAGCTGAAGTTAAGGAGTAGGTCATGACAGTTGAGTAGATTGAAGAACTGGGGTTAGAGTATCTGAGGGAACAGTAACATGTATTCTGAAATTCTCTATTAGGAGGGAAGGAGTTGAGGTGGAAAAGAAGACCATGAACCAAGCACTGAATCATTGAGAATGATCTCTTCACTCAACTGAAACTATTCTCTCCAAAGTTATCAATAATCTCATGGGTTTTTTTCAGTTCTTGATCTCTATTCACCCTTCACCACTCTTACCCTCTTCTGCATACTTTTTCTTCCCTAGGCTTTAATGACTCTGCTTTATCTTGGTTCTTCTACCTACCTGACTTCCCAATTTCACTATCCTTTGCTGGGTATTCACTCACTAATCTTGGGTGTCCCTCTAGGGGCTGTGCTTGGTTCTCTTCTCTATATTGTCCCACTTGGTGATTTCATCAGCTTCTATGGGTTCAATAACGTCTGTGATAATGGATCTCATCTATTTTTCCCTCCCTGACCTGTTTTCTGACCTCCAGTCTCACATCACCAAATGCCTATTGGACATTTTGAACTGCATGTCTCATAGACATCTTAAACTCAACAGGTCTAAAAGACATCTTTCTTCCAAAACCCTTTCCTCTTTCTAATTTCCTACTACTATCAAGGTTAGTCACTCAGGATCACAACCTTTACATCATCTTCAACTCCTTCATCCTCCCACTCCACCTATTCAGTCTTCTGTCAGTCTTATCCTTTCCTACTCTGCAATATCTCATAGATGCTTCCTCTATTCACATAGCCGTCACCTTTGTGTAGACTCTCATCACTTCACACGTAGATTGTTGGAATAGTTTGCTGTTTGGTCTCCCTGCCTCAAGGCTCTCCCCATTCCATCCATCCTCCACTCAGCTATGAAGTGATTTTCCTTAAGCGCAGGTCTGACCATGCCACCTCTTCCGTAGTCAGTAATTTCCATAAGGAAAGAAAGAAGGAAGGATAAATATTCTTACACCTGATTCCCACATACTCTGTGACACTGCCCTTACGACACTCTTATCTTTACATTTTCAGTGGTTGTTCCATTGTGCCTGGGATTCTCTGGGTTCCTTCATTACTTGGCTCATATCCTACCTTCCGCAGGAGGTCTTTATCAAGGGTTCCCCTGCTCCCTACAATTGCTAGTGCCTGTCTTCTAAGATTACCTCCCATTTACCTTGTATATATTGTGTTGTCTTTATGTAAATACTTTGTTTACATCTTATCTCCTCCATCAGAATGTGAACTCATTGAGGGAAGGAACCCAAGATTTAGCACAGCACCTGACTCATACCCTATGCTTAATAGATACTTATTTTGTTATATTGCCAGATTGCTCTACAAAAATGATTCTTCAAGTTTATAATTTCATCAACAATCAGTAAGTGTGCCAGCAGTGAGGATTTTTGCTTTTGATTTTTTTTTTTTTACCAATTTTAGGGGTATGAGATTATACCTCAAAATTGTTTTATTTTTCATTTCTTTGGTTATTATTGATGTTGAGAATTTTTTTACAAGTAGTTATTAACAATTTGTGGGTTTTTTTGAAAAAAATTATTCATATTTTTTATGCTTTATTCATTATGGACTGTGAATTACTATTATGCCTTTTTAACAGGTTTCTTGCCAGGCATGGTGGCATATGCTTGCAATCCCAGTTACTGGGAAGACTGAAGTTAGCAGATTTCTTGATCTTGGGAGTTCTGAGCTGCAGAATTGGGATATGCCAATTGTGTATCAGCACTAAGTTTGGCATTAATAGAATGAATTTGCAGTGGGGACTTGGGGACAAGTGGTACCACTAGGTTACTTAAGGAGGGGCAAACCAGCCTAAGTAGCAAACAAAGCAGGTCAAAGCTCCCAAATCCCCATGTTGATCAGAGTGGCATAGGCCACAGTACTTCCAGGCTTGTAGAGATAAGGAGAATCAGTCTTTTTTTTTTTTAAATAAGATTTAAATAGATTTAAATAAGATTTCTTCTATGTATTTTAGATGTCAAACTTTTACACGTCATATTTGCTCTGAATGTTTTCCCAGTCTTTTATTTTTCTTGTTATTTTAATTATATATTTTTATTGTACAGAAATGTTTTATTTTCATGTAATCAAGCACATCTGTCTTCTCCCTAGTAATTACTTTTGTTGAATTGAAAAAAAATCTTCCCTCCACAATTGAAATACTTTATTCCATTTTCTTTCATCATTTTTATAGTTCTGTGCAGGACAGTATGATCTAAAATGTGGGTCTTTTCCTAACAGATTACCAACTGATGTTCCAAGTATGTTTGTTAAATAATTCTGTTCTAGGTTTATATTTTCTATGTTTATCAAACACTAATCTTTTGTGTATATTTGGTTGACATTCTCATATATTTATTCTTTTCCATTGATGCTCAGAAAGACTACCTACAATAGGTACTTCCACCTCTCACTCTTCTTAACCTCTTACAATCTATCTTCACACCTTATCATTCCATCACAACTACTTTCCTCAAAGTTATTAATGATCCTTTCGTTGCCATATCCAGTGACCTTTTCTCTATCCTCAATCTCCTTGACACTCTCTTCCCTCTAGGTTTTTATGATATCACTCTCTCCTGATTCTCCTCTCTGATCTCTCCTTTGCCGGGTCCTCATCCAGATCACGTCCTCTAACCAGAGGTGTCCCTCAGGATTTGGTATTGGGTCCTCTTTTCTTCTCCGTCTGTACTACTTCACTTGGTGATCTCATCAGCTCCCATGAATTTAATTGCAATCTCTGTGCTAATGATTTTCACATCTTCCTATCCTGTCCCAAACTCCCTGGTGACCTCCAGTCTGATGCCTCCAACCACCTTTCAGACATTCTGAACTGGATGTCCAGTAAACATCTTAAACTCATTAGGCCAAAACAGAATGAATTTTCTTTTCCCCTAAACTCTCCCTGCCTCCTATCTTCCCTATTACTGTAGAGGGACACACCAGCCTCCCAGGCTTGCAACTAGGAGTCATCCTGGATTCTTTACTCTCTCTCACCCCTTATATCCAAGCTATTACCTAGGCCTATCAATTTTACCTTTGTAATCTCTCTCAGATATTTTCCCTTCTCTTCACTGCCACTGCCACCACTTTAGTACAGGCCCTGCTCACCTCACATCTGGATTACTGTAGTAGCCTGCCCATGGGTCTGCCTGCCTCCAGTCTCTCCCTGTTCCAATCCAGTCTCCATTCAGCCAATAAAGTGATTTTCCTAAAGCACAGGTCCAATTTTTGTCACTCCCCACCATCACCCTCCCTATTCAAAAAACTCATGTGGCTTCTTATTGCTTCCAGAATCAAATACAAAATACTCTCGCGTTCATTACCCTTCGTTACCTAGGCCTCTCCTACCTTTCCAGTCTTCTTACACCTTACTCTTAAATCCAATGACACTGGCCTCCTAGCTGTTCCACTAACAAGATACTCTTTATCTTGACTCCAGGCATTTTCCCTGCCTGTCCCTCTTGCCTGGAATGCTCTCCTTCCTCTGCTTGTGCTACTGACCTCTCTACTTCCTTTAAGTCCTAACTAAAATCCCACCTTCTACAGGAAGCCTACCCCAACCTGTCTTAATTCCAGTGCTTTCCTTCTATTATTTATTTCCTATTTATACTGAACATAGCTTGTTTTGTATATATTTGTTTGCATGTTGTCTCCCCCATTAGATTGTAAGCTCCTCCAGGGCAGAGACTGTCTTTTGTCTCTTTGTATTCGCATTGCTTAGCACAGTGCCTGACACATAGCAGGAACATAATAAATGTTTATTGATTGATCTGTTTCTCTTTTCTTAGTAATATATAGCTTTGGTGATTGATACATTGTAATATGTTTTACAGTCTGGGGATGTAAGACCACCCTCATCAGCTCTTCTCCTCAGTGATATTCTTGTCCACTTGTTTTCCATATAAATGTCGTTTGAATTTATCTATTTCTATAGGGAAATCGCTTATTTCAGTTATTTCACTAAATACATAAATTAATTTGGAAAGCACAGACATTTTTACCATAGCATCCAATCCATTACAAACGTTGAATGTACCTCCAGTTACTTAAGTCTTCCTTTATTTTGGTCACAATTTTAGTTTTTCTTAAGAGGCTCTTGAGTATTTCTAGATAGGTTAGATCTTAAGTATTTGAAAGTTTCTGTTAATGTAAAGGGTTATTGTTTCTTGATCTTTATTACTAGTAAATAAGAATGCAGATTAATTACTCTGTCTTTTTATGCCCTTTAGGCTGTTTGTAGTTTTAATTTGTCTAAGATGGTTATGTTTAATTATTTATAGAATATAAAGCATCAAGTGAAAGTGGTATCAAAAAGATGAATTTGGGGGGGAAGGGGCTAGGCAGTGGGGTTAAGTGACTTGCCCAGGGTCACACAGCAGGTTAAGTGTCAAGTATCTGAGGCTGGATTTGAACTCAGGTCCTTTTGACTCCAGGGCCACTTCTCTAT